GAAGTCTGTCCTTGTGTCTTGCTTAAGTGTTTTCTCATTTTAATTTTTGTTGTTGGACTGTCCTTGGTTTAATCTCTGGATTATCAGCCAAATCTCCCTGATATAGTTGCACCCTAGCTTCTGTGTCTCTAACGACCCACGGACATTCTCATCTTCATAACATCAGAGAAAACAGCTCATCAAATCAATGGCAATGCTTTACCCCAACTGATACAATCAACAACACATTAAGATCAAGCACAACTTGGACACTGACCACCTGTGGTAGTCACTAGTCTATCACCCTTAAATCATTTGAATTAAATTGAAATCAAGAAGCAGTCCAGAACATGTCTGCAGTGAACAAACTTTTCAATATAGTATATTAACCATTTAATGGCTCAGACAGAGCGAGGATGGAAGACCCCCGATCTCAGATAGCTGATTACTGAACCCCATGACGTTGAATGACCTCGGGCTGCAAGGCCCAGATTGAGTTCCCCAACCTTCTGAGTGGTTGAACTCCGCAACGTTCTATTACAGGTTTCCCACGCCCTTTCTTTAAAGATGTTCAAAGTTGGGAACTCAGAAAAATACCCTTGATGACCACCTCTGTCTTTGCAGAGTGGGTCCAAAGATTGACACAGTCAGGAGGTCTGACAGTGCGGGGGCGGGGGTGCTTATGGGGGCTCAGGGGCGCCCGCGCGGCTACCTTCCCAGCGCTTGAGCGATGGCTGCTGGGTCAGGAGCAGGCGTGGTTCTCCTTCCCGCGGTGGATCGGGGCCGGCCTACCTCCCGGCGCTTGAGCGATGGCTGCTGGGTCCAGGTGTTTCTGTTTTAACATTTAGGTCTTTGTTCCATTTTGATTTTAGTAAAGTGTATGATGAGATATATGGGTCTAGACTCAGTCTTCTCCATGTGGATATCCAGTTTTCCCGGCACCATTTATTAAAGAGGCTTAGATCTGTGCTTCTTACCTAGGGCCATGATTAGGTTTCAGGGAATCTTCGCATTACACACCTATATCATATACACATTTTCCTTATATATTCATTTTTCTGGATGAGGTTTCTTGGCTCTTACCAGATTCTCAGAGGGCTCCAAGACCCAAAGAGTCTGCTCACAGAGGCATCCAAAACAGAGCTGGCCTCTGGAGCTTGTTCATTCTGAACCAGCTTCCCCAGAGGAGATGACACTAATCTGTAACTTCCCTTGTCCTAGCTTTGGATCAAAGAGAGGACTGCTCATTTTGTTGTTCAACCTAGCAACCAGAAACAGTCTGTGTGACCTGGCTCCAGGGATTCCACAGTATGTTTGTTCTTGTCTTGCCGCGCAGGTGCTCAGAATGCCAGGATTCCCTTACCAACTGGTACTACGAGAAGGATGGGAAGCTCTACTGCCACAAGGACTACTGGGGGAAGTTCGGGGAGTTTTGCCATGGGTGCTCCCTGCTGATGACGGGGCCTGTCATGGTGAGTGGGTCCCTACATCTCCGCCCCTCTGGTTCATCAGTCCACTGACAGCACTTCTGGTCCCCTATGCCATTCGTCTTTTGGTCTTTCTCATCAGCCAGGACCTCTACCTTTATTCATTCATTCACCCAACAGGTATTTGTTGAGTACTTAACCAAGTGACAGATGATATCCTTGACTTTTAAAGTTCAGTGTTGGGCCACGCATGGTGGCACACCCCTGTAATCCCAGCACTCAGGAGGCCAAGGCAGGAGGATCATCACAAATTTGAGGCCAGCCTGGACTACATAGTGAGTTCGAGGTCAGCCTCAACTACACAGCAAGACCCTGTCTCAAAAAAAAAAAAGTCAATTTTTGGGAGTAGATGGGAAGACAAGCAGGGAAGAGGGACTGCAGTGGGAAAAAAAGGCCTTAAAGGAGAGTGTTTCAGGTGAAAAGGAGAATACCGCCTGGTTTATTTTGTTGTTTTAGGATTTTTTGTTGTTGTTGTTTTTGGTACTGGGAATCAAACTCAGCACTTGTCAGTGAGATGCTGGTGCTGCTAAGCTACATTCCCAGCTACCACCTGATACATGTTCAGGGAATCAAACAGGGAGAACCTGGAATGGGCTGACAGAGAGGTTTTTTCAGTGTCAACTTGATATTTGCTTTGTAAGTTCTAGGGCAGAGAGGGAAAAGCTAGATTTTGACTGGAGAGTATAGACCCTGACTGAAAAAAATAGATTTTGACTGGGGTCTCCAGAACCTTGATTAGAGATTGCTCAGCCGTCCCACCTCCGATACAGCAGAAGTTATAACTCACTTCCTTCTCTGTTGTCCCCACCTGCCCACAGGTGGCCGGGGAGTTCAAGTACCACCCAGAGTGCTTTGCCTGTATGAGCTGCAAGGTTATCATTGAAGATGGGGATGCCTATGCCCTGGTGCAGCATGCCACACTCTACTGGTAAGAGGTAGCCCTGTGACTGTCCTCCCCTACAAAATGGCCAGGAGAAAGGGACAAGTGGTAGCATGATTTGGGCGGAAAGACTCATGGCAAAATCAGAGCACTGGACTCCTATCACAGCAGTGCTCTGAAATAGTTCTGTAACCCATAAGAAGACAGTTAACATCTCCCTGCCCTCTGTCCTTACCTACCATGAGAATAACCTCACTGTTCCCTGCAGTCCTCCCAGATGGCGATGGAGAGACTGGCTGGGAGGTTGTGTCTAAGGAGGCTCTCAGAATGTCAAAGGCAAAGACCCTTTAGAGCTCACCTGGTTCAGTTGCTTTGGTTGACAGAAAAGTCACCTGGAGGGTACAGTGGCCAGAGCAGGGTTCTCACTGAAAGTCAGAGCAAAAGAACATGGGTCATCTCACCCCCGGGGCAGAGTTCCTCCTAGTGTACCACCCCCAGTCAGCCCAACCCCAGAGAATCCAGGATCCTCACTGTGAGCAGCCTGTGAGAATTATGGAAAGGAGGGTGATGGCAGTGAGACTGTGGATATGTTGTTTAAAGCCTGGTGGAGTAGTTTCTGGGGGAGCTTCCAAGTGGGACTCAAGAATCTCAGTTCCCTTTGTGCCCTCTCCCTAGTGGGAAGTGCCACAACGAGGTGGTGCTGGCACCCATGTTTGAGAGGCTCTCCACAGAGTTTGTTCAAGATCAACTGCCCTACTCCGTCACGCTCATCTCCATGCCAGCCACCACTGAGGGCAGGCGGGGCTTCTCTGTGTCCGTGGAGAGTGCCTGCTCGAACTACGCCACCACTGTGCAAGTGAAAGAGTGAGTATTTTGAGAAACATTTAGTAGAGATTCTTGACCAAGACCACAGGTGGGCCTAAAAGGGCTGCAGCCTAAAGTCTTACACAGAGCTCCCGTCATCCTCTTCCCCCAACCTTCTCCTGAAGGTCACTGTGCTGTAACCTCGCCCAGGCCTAAGTACTTAGTGTTCTCTCTGTCTAGGCTGCTTCTCACCAGGTACTTACAGCTAGAATTTCTTACTGTTTAGATGTCAGCTTTCAGATCATGTTTTCTCTTGGATATTATCTGGCTTGATTAAGTAATTTGATTATCATCTGTCCTCCAACTAGAATGTGAACTCCAGAAGGAACTTGCTTTGTCTTGTTTAGTACTACATGCCCAGAACTTGGAATTAGCAGGTGTTCACTGATTATTCTTTTGTTGGTTGAATAACTGAATGGGAGAAAAGAGGAGAAAATGGAATCTATGGTCCAAAAGAGGTTAAGATCCCATCGTAGATCCAGGCCAAGGACCAAATGAAGGAAGAGTTGGTGTCCTTGTAATACCCATAATGAGACACTTTCTGAAGCCTATTAGCCTGTAAATACTAATTTTGTACCTGCTATGTGTTAGATAGGAGTTTGAATCTTACAAGAAAGACAAGTCCTATGGTTGAGGAAGGAATTGTGTTCAGGGCAGAGGGAGAATCGTGTCTCCAGAGGTAGGAATCTGGTCGTCTAATACAGGTTGAGAGTAGCCAGGGAATGCGTCTGTTAAACATGAGGTGGAGTGGAGGGCTGAATTGTGGAGATTCATCAGATTTGTTGAGGGGTTAAGCAGCGAAGTGACTTAACCAAGTTGGTATTTTAGAAAGATAACTGATATAAAGGTTAGATGGGAGAGGGGAAAGCCTAGAGTTGTAGAGACCAGTTAGGAGGCTTTGCAGTGATCCGTGGGACAAATATGGTAACTATACTGACAGAACGCAGATTGGAGGGGGTGGTAAACTCCACATGGGGAAGAGGACGTCCAAGTTTGTAGCTTAGGCTTCTGGGTGAGTGGTGACTCTCGTCACTGAGTCCAAGCATCCTGTGTATGGGTGGCCTAGGTCTTGTGAGCAAGTGGGAGCCTGGGACCTGGTGAACCTTTTCTATGCAAGCAAAGCTGGTCAGGTAAGTTTTTAGGATGCCTGCACCATGCCTCTCACCTCTTGTCTGCCTTAGAGTCAACCGGATGCACATCAGTCCCAACAATCGCAATGCCATCCACCCTGGGGACCGCATCCTGGAGATCAATGGGACCCCCGTTCGCACACTCCGAGTGGAGGAGGTACAGTGTGTGTCTAGTGTATCTTATGAGAGTGAGATATAAAATAGACCCTCTGGGAGTTCAGGCTATGGCCTTTACCTTTTCCCACCCCAGCAAGTCTCTTTTTGGCACCGAGTCTGTGACCACTGATGACCTTCTATGTCAGTGTAGCAAGTTCCCAGGGCAGCAAGGATGGCCTGACAGATGGGGAGCAGACAGGATGCCAGGCAGAGAGCACTGTGAGGCTGCTGGCAACTGGAGGTCACCACCAGCCAATTTGAACATTGTCTATACTGTGCTTGGATCATCTGGGTTGGCGTTGGGTGTGCTGGGATGGGGCAGCCTGTAGGAACCAGCCTTACACTGCTTTTGGCCACAGGTGGAGGATGCAATTAGCCAGACGAGCCAGACACTTCAGCTGTTGATAGAACATGACCCAGTCTCCCAGCGCCTGGATCAGCTGCGGCTAGATGCCCGGCTCTCTCCCCACATGCAGAATACCGGACACTCTCACACGCTGAGCACCCTGGACACCAAGGAAAATCTGGAAGGGACTCTGAGGAGACGCTCCCTGAGGTGCCACCTTCCACCCCAGTTCTCTTCTGTCCTGTATCGTTCCTCAGAAGTTGGATTGGCTGTCGAGAGCCATTAGTGTTAAGAGAACCAGCTTGCCATGACAGGGTATCAGGATTGTGCTGCCCCAGCTGTTCCATAAGAATCATAGTTCATAGGAGCTGTGCAGAACCAACTCTCTGCCAGGTTTCCTTAGAAACCAGAGCATCAGGTGGTGTCCACCAGAGTCGTGAGCTGGATGAGAGGCAGGATGCAGGACCTTAATACTGTGCCCTAAAGGGAAACATACAGGAAATATGGGGCTCAGAGTTGAGTAGGGGCACAGTAGGATTGAATAAATATATATATAAGAACTTTGAAAATGATAAAATGAGAGATGATTGCAGGTGTTTTGGATTTGAAGGACCAGCAAACCCCCACTGCAGAGTCTGCCAGGTCCGTGGTCGGGAGCGGTCAGTTGTGTGCAAGCCCCAAGTAAGGAGACTTACAGGAGTCAGAAGCACAGGCTTTCAGGTAGAAACACCCAGACCGAACCTTCAAGATGAGCTCCTTCCTTCACAGTCATCGTCTCTCTCAACTTCTGTCTCTGCATCTGTAAAAATGGGCCGTCTCACAATTAGGTTAAATGTAGAAAGGCCACACAATTGTGCATTGCCAGCCTAGGGTCACCGTGATCAGTAGGATCAATTGGAATCTTATTCGGGCCTGGAATTTAGCTCAGTGGTGCCGCCACCTGCCTCACAAGCGCAAGGTCCTGAGTTCGATCCCTAGTGCCCCCCGGCAAATAGGAATCAGATTCTTTATACCCTGATCCAAAAGCTAAATCAGTTAGGGCCTCCTCAGCTGTTGGAAACGGAACCCTCCCCGCACGTTGCTCCCATCACTCTTGGCTGCCGTGGTCAGAGAGAAGCTAGGAGTGGATGGCCTAGAAAAGGGAAGCTGAGGAGTGACTGGAAAGCGATCAGGTAAAGGGCTGCCATGCCGGAGAGAGGACAGCTCACCTCCTGTACTACACCAGGCACAGTCAGCAGAAGGCCGTGCAGAAGAGCAAGGGCTGGCAAACTTGTGGGGCCGATAAGCCAAGAGCCATCCAGCTTCAGTCCTGTTTGGTCAGTCCAGTAAAATACCATGCCACAGTTTGAGTGATGTAGTCCCGTTATCTTCAGCCTTCTTGTTCTTTCTGCAGTAAGACAAAATAACCGTTATCATCTGTTACTACTGTCAGATGCTTTTGAAAATTAAGCATAGTTTTATTGCTATTAAAAACTACTTATAAGCCAGGCATGGTGGCGCACGCCTGTAATCCCAGTACTTGGGAGGCTGAGGCAGGAGGGTTGCTATGAGTTCAAGACCAGCTTGGGCTATATAGTGAGTTCCAGGTCAGTCTCAACTACATAGTGAGACCCTGTCTCAAAAAAA